CTTAATTAAAAAATATATACCTTAAAGTTATTAAACATCGCCTGGCATATACTGTTTGGAATCTCGCTCCAAGAGTGATAAGCCTGTGTATAGAGTCTTCTAACACAATCTTTTAAAACCCGAGCAATTTCCTTTGTAGGATGCCACCTGCAAAACACATAATAAATATGTTAGTTCATGAATAATATATTAAAGTATAAGAAATAAATAAAATAAACTAACAAATAGATAACAAAACAAACTTACGATGATCCATCTGGCTCAATCATGACTCTACCAAGTTTGTCCTTCTGACCAGGAGCTAGAGCAGACATTGTATCATGTGGTGTAGCTGTAGACGAGGGTGATACATCAGGATGCACAAAACGCTGAGTCAATGGAGGCGTACCGGCCATAGCATTTGACTGCTCGCTACTAGAATCTCCAAGCCTCATAGCAGATAACTGAGGAGATGTACCTGTGGGAGATGGAGTACCTATGGGAGATGGAGTACCTGCCGATAAGGGTCATGCTCGATGAATAGCCTATAAAGGTAGGTCCTCGTAGCGTCGTGAAGGCAATGGATGTGAAGTAGCTGAAGCACTGACTGGTCGACGGTAATTAGGATAATATTGCCGAGGATCCGCTGTACCAAACGGAACAGCAAATAAATAAGTATCATGGCTGATGCGCTCTGGCGCAGAAGAAATAGATCCTGTAATATCCTCAGGATCTATCGGTCTCCTAGACTTCTTCTTCTTAGCATGTTTAGTCTGGCTAACTCCAAGATGCTCGTGATGTCTATCACTGTCACCGCCTGATGACATCTGTATGCAAATTTTAATATATATAAAAATCATAAATTAAATAAAATATCAAAATACACTTACATATATACTATCTACCTTTCATTCTACACTATTCCTCCTCGCTTATTTCAATTCCATCATTCTCCCATTCTTCCTCCTCAGTTGTTTCATTTCATTATCGTCCCATTCTTCGTCATCAAATGATTCATTTTCCTCATTCTTAGATATTTCTTCCTCAACATTCAATATCTCATCATCAGATACTTCTTCTAATATGTGTTGAGGATGTTGTAGTGTGGTTTCCAATTCAACATCAACTTGTTGTTGAACAATTGCAACATCATTTTGATACGCCACATCTAAGACATTGTCAATTTCAATTCTTCCCACAAGCTTACTTTTTATAACAACCCACCAATCAGTTTTTTCTCTACGCAATGGATATGAAGCGTAATACACTTGTTTAGCATTTTGTGAAATAATAAAATGATCATAACTTATGTATTTCCTGGTGTGCTTAACTTCAATTAAATTATGTTGATGGTCCACCTTTGTGCCTCTATGTGATGGGTCAAACCACTCACACCAAAACAATACAATCTTCTTCTTAGGCCAACCTGAAACCTCACTTCAATAATCTCTTGAATGACACCATAATATTCAATAGTTTGACCAGTACCATCAACATCACCTTGTATATAGACACCGCTATTATTTGTTTTCTTGTTCCTAGAAACTTCTTCAGTTTGAAACTTAAAACCATTGACACAATACTTATTCATTGTCAGTACTTGAGATGCAGGTCCAAGTGCTACTTCTTTCACTAATTGCAAATGTTGGACACTTGAGTATTCATCGTAAACCTACATGATTGTTATTTCAAGTAATATAATTTAGTATAACATGAATATATTATTAAATACTTAGGGATTGCACACTTACATAGTTCCTCAGCCATTTGGAAAATTCTGTATAGATGGCTTCATTACCCCATGTGTTTACGAACAAGCTGATCATTTTACATTCAAGTATTTCATTAGTTAATGATCACTTATTAGTATGTAATTTAATAACATATTTTTAACACTTACTTGACGTATGGTTGAATCTCTGGACAATTAAGCAAAATATGTATCACAACTGATT